GCCCAATGTGGGGCTCGATCCCAGGGTCCTGGGATCAAGCCCTGAGCCGGGCTCCCTTGCTCAGAGAGGAGTCTGCTTCTCCCTCTGACCCTCCTCCCTCTCATGCTCTCTGTCTCTCATTCTCTCTCTCTGAAATAAATAAAAATAAAATCTTTAAAAAAAAAAAAAACAAAAAACAAAAACACATGACTTAAAAAAAAATAATGCATGACTTGAATACTGAGGCAACATGAGACAACCCCAAATTTAGGGACATTCTACAAAATAAACCACTTATACTCTTAAAAAAATGTCCAAGTAATGAAAAACAAAGAAAGACTAACAGAGACAATGACAACTAAATTCAACATATGATGCTAGATTGGATTCTGGACCACAATAAACACAGAAACACCTTTTTCTGCTATAAAAATAGTGGAACAATTAGTGAAATATGAGTAAGGTCGGTCTGTAGATGAGCTAATACTACATAAATGTTAATTATACTATTATTTTATAACATAATTAAAAAAATTAAATACTGAAGTATTTGCAATTTACATTCAAATGGTTTAGAAAAGAAATGTATGTGCATGGGAGAGAGGCAGGGAAAGAGAGAGAGGAGGACAGAGGCAGAGGGAGAATGAATGTGAGTGACAAAGCCAACATGGTAAAATATGAACATTTAGGGAATCTTATTAAAATGTATGTAGGAAAATAAAACATATAGCATAGGGAATATAGTCAGTGGTATTGTAATAGTGCTGTACGGTGACAGATGGAAGTTACACTTGTGCTGAGCACAGTATAATATACAGACTAGTGGAATCACTATGTTGTACACCTGAAACTAATGTAACACTGTGTGTCAACTATACTTCAATAATATATATATGTAGGAATTCATTGTACTATTTTTGCAACTTAAATTTTTCAAAATAAAAACTCTAAAAAATCTTCAAATTAGAAAGTTAAAAAAATTTAGATAAATCTAAAAATGCTCTAAAACAAGCCTATTAAAAGGAAAAAGAAAAAAATTTAGAGTAGAAAAGGACATCAACTAATTGGTGAGGCCTTTAAAATGAATTATGCCTAAGATGGTTTGTTCATACATACACAAACCTGGCATAGAAAATATGCAATGTATTTCACGTACTGAAAAATCTTAAGTTTCCATTTATTTGCTACATTACCATTTCCATTACTTGTATAACTTTGCTGATACAATTCTCTGAGATATTAACCCACTCATATTCAACTCTAAGTTGAATTAGCATGTATTTCATGCTAATTTAAAAATACAAGAGTTATCTACCACTCCGAATTATCAGTGTTCCTGTTTCAGCTAGTTTCCAAGCTAAATTTGGTGAGAGAAAATTACTACATGTAGACGCATTTGTGTTCAAATATCAAACTTGGAAGCCTAAGAATTAAAATGAATAATATTTAAAATTTGATAAATACTGCATGTATTCAGAGTTCAACACATAATAGTTTCATTTATTTCTTTTTCTTACATCTGCAAAAAAATGTGCTCTTTGTGCTTGTCTCAATTTGAATCGTTTGATTTTCTGCTGGATCCTTTTATCTTTCAAAAGCTGCTGTTCTGTGGCCCACTCACAGTGAAGATAGGAGCTAAAATTTTTATAAAAGCAATATATTAGAATGACATAGAAAAACATGTTTTGGTTTTTTAAGATTTATTTTTATTCACAGCATCCAATACAGAATATTCAACTTTACGAATAGATAGCTCATCATTTCATTTAATGGCAACAGACTCCATACAATTTCTAAAGCCACTGTGGTCACTATATCCTAAGAAGACTGTAGTATAAAGGTGTGCCATTTGCCACATAGAAAAAGAATGATAAACCAAGTCATAAAGGTAATGAGACGTGATTTATCATTTATTTCCTCATTTAACAGTTTTGTCATGATCAGAAAGCTAACTTGTTTTGAAACCAATGTAATTTTATTTAAAACACTTTTTCACCTAAGTATAGAAAAAACTTGAATAATATGAAAAGTTCAACAATATAATAAGTAATGTCTATAATTTGTAAAAGAATATTTTATAAAGATTCCTGCATTTTGATGTTAATAATTAACATTTCCTGAAAAAAATTCACTTAAATTTTACCACAAAAAGTTTTGAACTAATAAAACATTTTAAAATTCAGGTAAAATAAAAAAATAATTTAACTTAATATTTTTAAATATATTAATTTATATATAAATCAGCATTTTCTAACTTAGATACTTACTAATTCTTGTATTTTACAAAAAATTCTTCTGTATCAATCATCACTCCAGGTGATACCTAAGAAAATAAAATCAATACTTATGACTTTAATAATCAGGCCATGGACTATAAAGGGTAAAATGTAATGTGCAATTACTTACCTCCTTTTTTACAGTTCTAGAAGATAGTATTTTGTCTACAATTGCAGCATCTTCTTCACTTGGATTCTCCTATGGGATGGAGGAAAGAAGATACAATGTCACATTCTAAAAATTCCTTTAGTTGCCACTTTGTATGTTTATGAACACACTAAAATTCAGTTTATTTAGCACATGTGTCAGGCACTGTGTTAAATGTTAGGAATATAAAAATGGAAAAAGAAATCATTGCTGTTATTGTCCTTGTCATCATCTGCATCATCATCATCATGGTAAACATACTGTGCTTCTTAATGGGCTCAGCATTATTGTCAGGACTTTACATACATTAACTAATTTAATCCTTGCAACTACACTACGCCATTGTCATCTCTCCACTGTACAGATTAGGAAGCTCAGGCACAGAGAACTAAGTACTTGCCCAAGGTGTCAGATCACTCAGCTGGCAGATGAGTGGTTGGTTCACAATCCAAATAAGGAAGATTAAAAGAGGAAAATGCATAATCAAAGACAGAGAGTGCACCTATGTTCAGAAGGTCAGAGGATTCAGTGCTTGTAAAGCAGTGGCTGGAGATAAGCCCCAAAAAAATTCATACAAAGGGCTTTATATGATGTGCTAAGAAGGCATCATTATTTTTTGTGAGACTTAGGAAGCTATAAGAGGAGCTTTAAGTATAAAGTACTATGATCAGGCCTGTAATTTAGAAATATTCTGCAGAAAGTATAGAATCTGGAGGAGTTTCAGAAATATCTATTTAGGGTGTGAAAAACATGGTGATAAACCGGATGAAGAAGCAAAGGAAGAAAACAGAGAGGATGAATTCCTAGGTTTCTGATCTGAATAATTAATGGTTCTATTAACTACAATAGGGAATCCAGGAGGAAAAGTTGGAGTAAGTTTTAGGAGGAAAGATAATAAAAGTATTTTAAAGAAAATATGTTGGTTTCAAATGATTTATAGTCATAATTCCAAATCTGTCTTACCACAAATAATTGTAAAGGCTGTTCACCAGGTAAAGGAGCTGAATTCTTTTTTATTTTCATAGAACCTTTAACCTCTTCTTCAGATTGTTTCCCTTCTGCATCTTCTGCATATTTTTTTCTTTTAATTTGACGATTTGATCTTCTTTTCTGCAATGAACCATAAGGATCATATTTATATGATAGATTTTAAAGGAAAGATTTTTAAAATAATTACTTTTAGTGTGGCGATTTTGTACATTACATTTCTGAAATTGTATTCGACACTCATCTTTTCTCATTTTTCCTTTTAATTAAAGGAAGATTGTAACTTGCCCTTTCTCACAGGCTTAGAATCTTGTTTTACTTCCTAAGGCTTCAAATAACAAAGATTAGTAATACCTTTATTGCTTTTCTTTAGAAATTGTTAGGAATAAAAAGATTTATTTTATTTAACTATTTCACAGCTTGGGCAAAACCTATTTTATTAGTAATACGTTTATTGTTTTATTACTTCTCTTTAGAAACTATTGTTCAGAAGAGTAAAACATGTTTTATTTAGCTATTTAACTCTTTGGGCAACACATATTTTAAACTGTTAATACTTTCAGTTTCTGCCCCAAACCTAAAAAGTGCATCAGATGAATACTGGTTAAATAATTAATCGGGGACATAAAACTAAAAGAATAAATCAAACAATATTTACCACAAAATCCATGAACTTGTGTTTAAAACAGAATAAAACAAAAGAATATAAAATGTTTTAAAAGAGATACACAAAATAATCAAGTAAATCTACCAAATAATTAAATGTGTATGAAAGAAGAACCAGTGTTTTACTAACTTTACTAGCTTCCCTTAAAAATAAAGAACATCACTATTAAAACCAGAAGTAAGCCTTTTGAAAAGTATTACATGTAGTACCATAATTTTAAAATAAACTAAGTGATTTTAAATGAGGTATCAAATACACACGGCTTTACTTACCACCCTAAAGATCTAATATTTGATGTTCCCCACTATAAAATCAAAATCTCACGTTGGCTTGACAACTTCAGAGGACTTAGGTTTGCTTTTTTCCACCTCTTTAAAATCTCATGGGTGGAGGAATCTTAGCCAACTTTTCTATTGCTCAATATTTGGTAAATCAACCCCTTCTTCCTTTCTCTATGCCATTTTCTTTTATATATTTAGTAACTCCCCTGACATTCCCCCATAATGTGACCTGAAAATAACCCATGTATTCTCCTTTTGGTTTCTGCCAGTACCCTCAATTTGGCAGGCCTTTCCTATTTCCATGACAAATATGGCTCCATCAGTGCAGCAGGCTGGGGGGAAACTGTACTCGGCATCCAAAAAGTCGCAATGGCCTTTAGTGTGCCTTTGCCTCTTTCTCTTGAGTTGTGGAATATTGAGAGAAAGAAAGGCACTAATATGGTAAGTTAGCTCAGCCAAATAGAGTTGATAACTTCATGGCTCAATTAGGATGGGTCTCATCACCTCTTGGCCATGAAGACATTTACATTTTCAAAACTCAAAGTAACACTTCTGTTAATATGGGAGACCGGGAAGGTGGCATATAAAAGTTATAATAAAAGGACTTGTAGAAAATCAAATTTTCCCACATCCTATTTTGAAAAAAATATGTAATATTTATTATTACTTGAGAGAAAAAGTCTATGGATCTCTAGTCTAATACAAGGCTAAAGGAATATTTAGAGTTCTACAACAGGCATCATATGGCTCTGAATATTCAAGAATAGTTTAAATTAATAAACCAACAGTGACATTTATTATTCTAACAATAACATGTATTACCAATGTTATGTCTCACTGGGCACAAATCTTTTTTTTTTTTTAAAGATTTTATTTATTTA